ATTACGCATGCGCGAGCACAGTCAGGCGTGCAATACGGACTGAAGAAAACTTCACAATATAGCTTGCTGAGGGAGGGGGGAGTTGGACCTCGGATGTCGGTCGCCGTTGACTGCTAAGATAATTTTCTTCGGCCGTTTGTATACGGTCAAAGTGGAGCCGGGCGGGCTGCTAGCACGTGTGCATGGTAAAATCAGATATATAATATTCACTTTTCTCGCAGCATCACGCCCTATGTTCCGTGTTATATTTATATATGGGGAATTGGGCCTCGGACGTGGGTCGCCGTTGACTGCTAAGATAATTTTCTTTGGCCGTTTTTATATGGTCAAAGTGGAGTCGGGCGGGCTGCCAGCACGTGTGCATGATAAAATCCGATCTATAATATTCGCTTTTCTCGTAGCATCACGCCCTGGGTTCCGCGTTATGCCTATAATATATGGGGAAATGGTACTCTGAGGAAAAGCGACAGGGAAGATAGCTGGGGCGGTAGAAGAAGAGGGAGGTGGAGCGAGGGACAGGGGAGGCAAGTGGAATGACGTGAGTGCATAAAGTAGGTGTTTTGTACCCTACAACCACAGGCTCAAACTCCACGACAGATGGCGCTCTCGCTCTGGCTCAATTCTACTGAGCCAGTATTATCCTGAGTGTAGTATTATCCTGAGTATTATCCTGAGTGTGGGAAGGGGCAACTGCATGCAGTTTGCCACAGGCTAGGGCGCTCATGAACCCAGGCTATACTACTGATAAAAATTATTAGAGAAATCTATGCTGAGATACCCCCTGACCATAATGCATTGCGCATACCAAAGTAACTGTCACGATTCTCTTTCTTCGTACTATATGAGTAATATAGTGTTAGAGCCAACCGGGAAGGTTCTTAGAATCAAAACTGAAACCGACTTGTTATTCATGATCTGTATGTGTGTGAGCTGGTTGTGTTATTGTGCGCGGCTTGTTAAATAAATGTGTTCTGTTCAGTAAAGAGTATAGTTCGTGTATCCTGAATGGCGACATGGTGTCAGAAGTGGGATTCCACAGAAACTGCACATCATCACCAAGGCTGACCTTCAAAAACGCCTGCTCTTGTGTGTGACTCACTGGAAAGTTGAGTCAGACTTCAGTAGATCATGTATCGCTTTATAACCGTCGACAGCTCTGGCAAATATCTTCCCAAGTAATTGACCATGTCTATAAAGTATAAACCGTCTAACACACTGCTACATCTCGTGGTGCGGCGATATATATAATATATATAAATATCCACGACTGCTTTTACTTTTCCTGGGTCTGGGCTTATCCCTTCTTCTGAATATATATGACCAAAGTACGTTAGCTTGGCTGTCGAACTGAGTTTCTCCCTGTTGAGTTTCAGTCCCGATTCACTTATCCGATCCAAGACATTCCTAAGTCGTCGGTCATGTTCTGCGAGTGTGTTCCCATACACTAATATGTCATCCATAATCGCAAAGTACACCATCCTGTCCCTGCAGCAGCTCCGTCATCATACGTTGGAACACCTCTGGTGCTGATGTAATCCGAATGGGACATGGCGGAAACAGTACGCCCAAACGGTGGTGATGAATGTGGTGTATCTTGAACTCTCAGGGTCTAGTGGCATTTGATAAAACCCACTCGACGCATCCAACTGCGAAAACACACATGCTCCTACCAGCTTAGGGATTACATCCTCAAAAATTGGCAGTATGAATCGCTCCCGATGCACAGATTTATTCCGTTTCTTCAAATCCCGCAGATGCTTATATTCCCATTGCGTTTAACAACAGAAACCATAGGGGCGCACCAGTCTGTTGGCTCAGTAACTTGTTCGATGACCCCCACGCTCACCATATATTCCAGCTCCTCCTTGACCTTGGACAGTATCGGAAATGGCACTCTGCGGGCAGTGTTAATACTGTATGGAACAGCATTTTCCTTCTGCTGTATTTTTACCGGGTCGCACTTTAACAAACCAATATCTCCAAACAATGTTCCATCTATTTTGTTGACTTGCTTCACTAAGCCCATTTGTGATGCCCACCTGTCGACCTAACATATTATTAACCTGTGGGCTCGTAAGTATGACTACTGGAAAGCTGTACATTTTCCCTTTATGGCTCGTCTGCATCACAAACTGTCCCTTACATGTTAGTGTTCCTCCTGGACTGGACAGTATGGTGTTTGTCCGGCGTCAATACTGGTCTGTTTATGCAAGCCACCATACGTCTTGCTGACATGACGGTGATGTCTGCCCCAGTATCTATTTTCAAATCCACCGATTTGCCGTCAATTTCCAGTTGCACTTGCCATGGGTCACCCGACCCTGAGTGATTGATCCTATGAATAGTCTATGCATAACTTTCACTCGTACCACTGCCATTCGCATGTTGTGACGTCACATGATTCGCCTTTTTGTCGCGACAGACAGCTTGAAATGTCCTATCTTTTTACACTTCCTGCAGCGCTTGTTCCTTTGCTGGGCAGCTGTCACGCCACCGTGGCTCAAACCACACCTGGTACATGATGTACACATACTGTGTTGTTTACTCCTGTTTCTATAGTACCCTGCCTGGTGGCTCCATAGGCGTTCTTGTCACCGTAGCTAGCGCTTACTCTGTTGCTGAAACTTTGCTAAAATAATGGTCGTACTACTTCTCCAGACCGCTAGCGTCATGGCCCTTGAACAGTTACCTGTGCCTTTACCTGCTCTGTCTGGCGCTAGTTATTTCGATGGCTCTTGCAAGGGTCAGATCAGGGGTCAGTTGAAATTTCTCTGACAGACTTTTATCAGTAATGCCAATTACTAACCTGTCCCTGAAATTCTGCCTATTTGGCCGTGCCAAACTCAACAATGTGCTGCCAGCTCATATAGACTGCGGATGAAACATTCTGCCGTCTCCCTAAGCCTGTTGTCTCCGCAGGTGGAAACTGTGCAGCGTTCGTGAATTATAGTTCGCGACGTGGCACAAAGTGTTCATCAAATTCGTGAGCACCAAGTCAAACCTTTGCCTTGTCTGTTTCACTTTCAAAGCCAAATGTTGAATATGTGCTCTGAATCTCCGCCCATACAGTAGATGAGGCTGCATATTTGCACATCACTATCTCCTTGTCAACTTCGATGCAATTCTGTATCGGCTGTGTCTCTGCGCCACTCGCCCATACTGCTGGCCTGGCAAAAAATCAAAAGCCTCTAGAGGGGGTTAGCTTTGCCATAGCGTCGTCCCAGCTTGCTTTTTAATGATCACTGTATGTCCATATGTTTACTTC